TACATATTCATATATGTAAAATATTTGTTTATAATAAATATAAATATATATTTGTATATATAATAAAAATATATTATATAATTATATGTTTAATATATATGTATATATTTTTATAAATATATATATATATATATATATATTTTTTTCTATATATATATATATATATGATAATATATTTTTATATAATATTTAAGTATTTATTTAATAAAAAATATGTTTAGTAAATAAATATAATATTTATACAAAAAATAATTTTATTTAATTTCGATACAATATAAAATAGATTTGGTATAAATATTTTGTTAAAATTCTATATAAACAGAAATTTGTATTGGATAATTTGAGTAAAATATACAATTTGAATTAAAGTGAATTGATATTTTAGATATTAAATCAATGAAATATGAATAAGATACTGAAACATGAATAAGAAATTAGAAAACTATAAATGAGCATAATAATTATTTATTGATTGATTATAATGTCGTATTACAAAATTACAATAGATTTATCTATGAGAAGTTGATCGCCTAAGATCAGGGTTATGTGAACAATAATTTATTGTGTGATCTGGAATGTGACACTAGGAGCATTTCTTTGAGTGACCTTCTTTGCGAATATCCATTTCAATCCTAATTCGTGTTGACTTCGGACGACCCTTGGAACTTCTTTTTGTTGCTAGGTTGGGGAAAAGTTGTGGGCCTTGATGTGATGGTTAATAATCTTTGTGCCTAAGCTCCCCAAACAAATTGTCATACACTTTGTTGACTACATCCAACTTGTAAGCAGGATTGATGTACATCTCATAATCATGGTGAACATGTTTGCACTCTACAACCACATGGGAACATGGTAGATGAAGTTTTTGGAACTTCCCACAATCACACCAAGTTTTATCTAGTCTAACAACAAAATTATCAATAGGTCGAACTTCTCTTGGGTTGACAATCTCTTCCACCAAGAATCTTGTGCTGCTTCCATCGAATTCAAGCACCCTATGAGTGTTTGATTTTGTAAAAGCATCTTGTAAGACCTTTGATGCAACTTCTGAATATTACCATTGTTCTTATGGAGGCAGACCTATGCTCAGCTTGTTTCCACAACAACATTATCGACGATTATAGCTTATTTTTTTCAAATACACAAAATACAATTAAAGTTAGTAATATTTTTCTAAATGTGTTGCAAACGAGAAGCTACAAACGACACTATATATAAAGGTAAGTCTACACAATTTGTATGTCGTACGAGTTGATCTTGGTCGTTGATGTATGGAGATTTGATCTTGGTTGTTGCTTTTTACTGTCACCTAGGGTAGTATGTGTCAGAGCGTGGTACAAAGGAATTTTATCATGAACAGTAACCTTTATGCTACGACTTGGACCATAGGATGAGGTGGAGTCGCTCGAGCGACTTCTATGTTAAAAATCTTCTTCCTCCTTTCAGTTTTTGCTTCAATTATGTTGACAATTACGCTTCTTGCTCTTGTATCAAGGTATTCTCAAATTCATCCTACATTGGGAGAAAAATATATTAGAATTGACATAAGTTAAGTGATTTCATAACAATTAAAAGCATAATAATATCAACTTTTACCAGTTAATAGATCGACTTTTATTTAATTGAAATACTATACTGCGATTGATAATTTTGGTATGCTTGTCAAATATTCAACAAGATGCAACAAATTTTTCACAAAAAGAGGGAGGCAAATCACAACAATGATTAATGTTGATCATGTCCATTCAAAAATTGCATCAAAGGTCTTACAAGATGCTTATACAAAATCAAACACTCATAGGGTGCTTGAATTCGATAGAAGCAGCGCAAGATTCTTGGTGGAGGAGATCGTCAACCCAAGAGAAGTTCAACCTGCTTGTAATTTTGTTGTTAGACTAGATAATACTTGGTGTGATTGTGGGAAGTTCCAAAAACTTCATCTACCATATTACCATGTGGTTGCAAAGTGCAAACATGTTCATCATGATTATGAGATGTACATCAATCCTGTTTACAAGTTGGATGTAATCAACAAAGTGTATGATAATTTGTTTGGGGAGCTTAGGCACGAAGATTATTAACCATCACATCAAGGCCCACAACTTTGCCTCAACCTAGCAACAAGAAGAAGTTTCAAGGGTCGTCTGAAGTCAACACGAATTAGGATTAAAATGGATATCCGCAAAGAAGGTCATCAAAAGAAATGTTCCTATTGTCACATGCCAGATCACACAAGAAGTCATTGTTCACATAACCCTAACCTTAGGCGATCAACTTCTCATAGATAAATCTATTGTAATTTTGTAATATGACATTATAATCAATCAATAAATAATTATTATGCTCATTTATAGTTTTCTAATTTCTTATTCATGTTTCGTATCTTATTCATATTTTATTAATTTAATATTTTAAATATTAATTCACTTTAATTCAAATTGTATATTTTACTCCAATTATCCAATTCAAATTTACGTTTATACAGAATTTTAACAAAATATTTATATCAAATCTATTTTATATTGTATCGAAATTAAATAAAATTATTTTTTGTATAAATATTATATTTATTTACTAAACATATTTTTTTATTAAATAAATACTTAAATATTATATAAAAAATATATTATCATATATATATATATAAGAAAATATAAATATGTATTTGTTAAATGGATAAATATATATATATATATATATATATATATATAAATATATATATATATATATATTATAAATATATATATATATATATATATATATATATATTTATAAAAATATATACATATATATTAAACATATAATTATATAATATATTTTTATTATATATACAAATATATATTTATATTTATTATAAACAAATATTTTACATATGTATATTTAATTAATGTATATATATATATATATATATATATTTAATAACTATATTTATATCTATTACAAATATTCATATATTTCTATGGAAAAAATAGAAAATTATAATTTGTATTTCCTAAAAATATTTTATATTTAATAAATACTTCATTATTATATATATATATATATATATATAATTTAATAAAGTTATAATGTATATAAAAAATGTATTTATTAAATATTTAAATATATAATTATATATATTTATATTTTTTTATTATATTTAATAAATTTATAATGTATATATTAAAATATAAATATGTATTTACCATATATATAAAAATATATATAAATATATTAAAATATAATAATATTTATATATTTCTATAAAAAATATTATTTTTACTTACTAAAATTATTTTATATTACAAATATATTTAAATTATTATATATATATATATATAAAATTTAATAAAGTTATAATGTATATAAAAAATGTATTTATTAAATATTTAAATATATAATTATATATATTTATATTTTTTTATTATATTTAATAAATTTATAATGTATATATTAAAATATAAATATGTATTTACCATATATATAAAAATATATATAAATATATATAAATATAATAATATTTATATATTTCTATAAAAAATATTATTTTTACTTACTAAAATTATTTTATATTACAAATATATTTAAATAATATATATAATTTATTTATGTAAAAATGTTATATTGAAAGATATAATATATTTATTAAATTTTATTATATTTATAAAAATATAAATAAATATTTAAATATTATATATATTAAATATATTTGTATTTTTTTATATTTATAAAAATATTTTAATAATATAATAATATAAATATATTTTTATGTTATATAAAAAATTATATTTATATTTATTTCATATATATATATAAATAAAATTAAAAAAAATATAATATTTATATATTTATTATATATATATATTTAGATTTAATTTATATTTAATAAATATTATTATATTTTAAAAATTCTATTAATTTTCATGGTTGGAATTCGGCTTCTCACGAGTCGACCATACATAAAAATTAATGCACACATTGTACTATTCATGGACATTTAGTTAACATACAGACATTTAGTTAAATTGTATGTTAGATTGGAAAAAAAATCATGCTTTAGACATCTATCTTAAATAATTATAAGTGAGATAAATACAATATAAATTCTAAATAGTCCGTTGAAATAAATTTATTATAAATTATTAAGTTCTGCACCTTTGAAATTCTCTTACTTAGAGTTGAAATTTTAAAACAACTTCCTATTAATTGTCATTTTTAACTAAAATTTACTAGTAAAATAAAGTTTACATTCATTTACATATTTTAATAATGTTATAATTATTTTTAGTTTTGATAGCAACTATTTGAGTCAAGTTTATTTTTTTTAAACACTTAGGATTTAATTGAAGAAAAATGTTCTGATTTTAATATATAGAAAAAAATATAAAGATTATTGTGACAATATTTCCTCAATTAAGACAACGTTGTTACTACAATATTTTTCTATTAAATGAAAGAACATTCAATTATCAAATATACAATATTAATTGTAATGGAATGAATATTACTTTTTATAAGAGTATTAAGATTTGTTCCATAATAAAAATTAAAAAACGTTTTAGGTGAAGTTTTTTTTTTAAGTGAGTCAAAATATATGAATATAAAGCACGAATGAATTTTTTTAGTTTGTGCACACAGTGAAGTTTTAAGTGGTGCATTAATCTAAATTCATATATCCAATAGACAAAAAGGTATCAAAATATGAACTTAATATATCAGAGAGAATTAATCAAATCTGAAAAAAAAAAAAAAAAAAAAAAAAAGATCAACCTTTTAACACTTCTCTGAATTTATTTTATTTTATTTTTACATAAACACAAGATCTCTATAATAATAAAAAAAAATACTAAAAGATTAAAAGGAAAAATTATTTTTCCTCTGTTAGACAAAAGCTCCACTGGGAGAGAAGGGCATTGGGATGCCTTCAAAAGGAAAGACAAAAGCTCCCTTAGACAGAGAAATGGTCTATGCCAACAAAAAGAAAGGTTCCACCTTCTGTTTAAACAACTCTGTGTGAATTACTAGGTTGAGGTGTGATCCATATTCCAGCCAAGGGTGCCATTCTGGTTGACAGAAGCTGAATTTCCAGAAAACATCATGGAAGATGCCTGCAAGTTAATTGGGTGAATTTGATGATGCATCACTGGCTGCTGCAATGTATCCACTGACACACTGTTTCTCTGAACCATAGTCTGATGATTTTCAGCTAACACTGTGTTAGATGGAGACCATACTCCATATCTAAATGCAACATCTAGAGTTCCCATAGACTCTGGAAAATTCTGCAGGATGGTCATATTAGGACAGGTAGACAGGGGATGACTATGTTGGGCCAAACCCAAAACACTTTCTGCATCAAAATGTTTAGCCAGTTGCATATTTGGAGCAGATTGGTGGTCTCTTTTTGGTAGAACCATGTTACCTGTGAGACCAGGATGAAGATCTGCCAGTGTTTCATTGGTAACATTGACAGTAGCAGAAAAAGGTTGCAAGTGAATTCTTCCATATGCACCCACCCTAGGTTCTATTGTCCCTTGCATCTCATTTTGTGGTTGTCTCGGATGTCTCTGTCTCACTGTATCAGAATTCGTCTTCAGAAAATTTCTATATTTCTGCCAATCAATGTTGCAATCACATAGAAAATAATGTTCATTATTATTCATACAAAATATATGAATTATTTTTCAGTGCAATAGACCTTGGTTTAAATTGGAACAACAATATTTCATGTAAGCTTCTACATGATGGCTGGCTGCTTTAAAAAAACTGACTATAAAATATTACTGAATTTATTCTAAATTTATATTAGGTTTTCTGTCTAAATCGATATTGGTTCTTTAAATGTACCTACTTTGAACAAGTGCAAACATGGAAAATCAAATGATATAGAAACTAACCTGCAAATGACTAGCAACATTATTTCTTGTCAAACCGTGGACATTCATGAGTTCAAGAATTTTGTTTGGAACAGCTTCTAGAAGATAACAATTAAGGAAGAAAACAAAAACTGTTAGATCACATATTATACATGTATTGCAATAAATCCAGATATTGGAGGAATAGAGAAAAAGAAAACAATTGCAGAAGAATCATACTAGCATGTCCAATTTGATTAACAGCCTTGACAAAAGCAAGATGCAATTCTGTTGACCATACTAAACGGGGTTTCTTTTTGGGAGGTTCATCTCTATTCTCAGATTCACCAACATTATCAAATTCTCTGATATTGCTATTGGTTCTTTCAATCACAGAAGAAGAAACAAATTCAGAATTATCATTGATCCCTCTTTTCTGATTATCGTCTTCCAAGCTGCCAATATCTTTTTGCTTAGTTTCCCTGATGGACTTCCTATAGACATGTTTCCACATATTCTTCAACTCCTTCTCATTCAAAGGCTTCACCGAATAATCACAAGCTCCAAGTTCAAAAGCCTTGTATGCAGAACTCTGACTATCATCCGAAGACATCACTGCAAATTAAACTTGATGAGTAAAACAAGTTCAGAACCTAAGTACAAATAATAGAGGACAAGTTACATACAAATGACAGGAACATAAATTTCCTGGTTAACAAATTGTAGGAATTGATAGCCATCCATGATTGGCATATGAACTTCAATGAGTATCAAATCAATACGTCCTTTGCTTTCCCGCAAAACATTTGCAGCAATTACAGATTCTGAGCAAGTGATAACTGCAAACAATGTTATAAGAACTGTTAACGTTAACTAAACAGAAGATTGATTCTTTCTCTAAGAAATATAGCAATTACATATTGTATATCTAACCTTGATAACCATACTGGTTGCATGTTTTCTTGATGAAATCAAGAACTGTGGGATCAGTGTCAATGGCAAGGACCCTAAGACTTGGTGGGATTCGTTGGAGACCCTTCTCCTCTTGATCAGAAGAAATTTTGGCCATTACTCTCTCCATTGTGTTACCTCAGTATACAGATTGCAAGTTTAACAAATTTAAGCTGGGTTTCTTTCCCGGGTAATTTATATTTTAAAATCAAATTCCCGTTTTAAAAATTGATTTAGGATATTAGGAAACATTCTAAAAAATTAATTGACCCTGTCTTGTACTTTTCTTTTCTTTTTTTTTTCTTTTTTTTTATGAAAACATAGTCACTTTTACCTGCATTAATAAATTTTGCACACAATCTTGCACTGCATTAATACGAATTACAGAAATAAAAGGGAAAATAACGATGGAATTAATTAATTAAGGAAATACTGAAACTGGGTAAAGTTTTCAACTGAAAAAAAATTGAACACTCGAAATGAAATGAAAATATATACAAAAACTATCTTATCAAGTAAGTAACCAAAAATTATTATAAAATCAAACAATAACTGTACCTATTAATGTGATTTATTAAAACAGGTATAGGATTTGTGCAAAATAAAACTAGATTTAGACTAAATTTGGACCAAAGTTAAAAACAAATAAATGTATGTACTGTTTTTCTTCCCCTACTGATTTTAATATATAGAAAAATAAATCTTTATATCAATTGTTACCATATTTTGTTAAATATATAAGAATGTGTAATGTTTCCCGATCATCATGTATAACAGTCTTCAGAAAAAAAACAAAATATGACAATATATTTTTAGTAAATAAGAGAAAGTTACTGTATTTAAAATATTAATGAAGTAAATATTATGTGTAAGAGTATTAAAATTTGTTCCATATAAAGTAATAGCATCCTTTATTTAAAACTAAATAGTCAAGTGTAGTTTAAGTAAAAAAAAAAAATATATTCAAACTACCGTTAATTAACTTAATGTTGGGTTTAAATGAGGTAAAAGAAGTAATTCGTTTATTTGATGAATTTGAATTTCTTTAGAGTAAATTATTTATTTGAGTAAAAAAAATTAAAATTTCTTAATTTTTAAAAGGTAATTCAAACAATTAAAATAGAGGAATTTAATATATCTTAAAAAAATAAAATAAAGAATTTATAAGGAATGTCAGTCACCTTGCTTCTTTCTTCTTTCCCATCTCAAGATCACTCCTACGTTACTCATGAAAAAATATATATTTATTTTAGTAATAAAATATTATATTTATTTTATAAAGGTGATTTTTAAAATTATTTTAATTATTTTAAAATTATTAAATTTTACCTAATATTAAGAATTTAATTATTAAATATTATTTTAATATTTAAAATTAAATAAAATATTATTTGAATACTTAAAATTGAATAATATTTATTTTTATGAAGTTTAATATTAGAATTTTATATTTTAAAATAAATATTTAAAATAAAATTTAATTTTAGAATAAATTTAATTAATTTATCCAAAAAAAATTATATAAGATATTTGAATTGTTTTATTTAAATAAAATATTTAAAAAGTAAAAATAATTTAATTAAAAAGTATTAAAACAAAATATTTAAATTTCTTTAAATTAATGAAATATCTCGTCAAACATAGAGTAAAGGTTTGTTTTCGTTTATATATATTTAGTATTTTAGGTAATGTATTCTATATAATAACTATTTATAAATATATAAGTTATATTACAACTTTAAAATCTAAAAAAATATAATTTAAATAAAAATAATATTTAAAACACGTGATATGATATTGAATTATAATATATGATCTCGTCTACATAAGCTCAAATCAAACTAAAAAATGAATTAGGTCTTTATTTGTAGAAAACGTCTATTTAATTGATTTTGTTTAACCTAACACGCTAATTATTTTAATAAATATTAAATGAACTTATATTTTTCTTTCCTTTCCTACTTGTTAATTATTACATCGTATCACATTTTTTTCTCTCTCTTTTTCATTGATTTTTTGAGTATATAAATGATAATAATTATTTTCCTATACTATCTCTCATATCTCCTAAATCATAGGACACATTTTTTTCTTTCTAATAATACTAAAAGTAATTATAAAAAAAATATCTTAGATTTATTACATTTATATATTTATTTATTAAATCTAAATATTAAATATTCTACATACACAAAGTTAAATCATTAAATTTATTAAAATTTTACTTGATTACTATTTTAAAATAACATTTAATTTTTTAATTTTAAAAACTAAAAAATTATTTGAAAAATGATTTATTGAAATAGTTTTTAAATATTTTTTATTTTAAAATTAAAAATTAAAATTAATTACAATAGAGGGATTGATAAAAACTTTATTCATTAAGAAAATTAAAACTTATATTTTTCTTATACAAGTCTATGTGGATGATATCATATTCGAAGTAACTAATGACAATCTTTATGAGAAGATTGTGAAAGAAATATAGAATGAATTTAAAATGTCAATGATGAGAGAATTAAACTTATTCTTAGGACTTCAAGTCAAACAGTGGAGTAATGGAATCATTTTTCATCAATCCAAATACTGCATAGAATTGTTAAGTTTGAGATGAAAAATTGCAAAGAGACCACAACTCCTACGTCTACAAGTTGTTACCTTTATGTTAATTTGAAAGGGAAGTCAGTAGATTAAACAAATTTTTGAGGACTAATTGGCTCACTTCTCTATTTCATTACAAGCATACCTGATATCATGTTCAGTGTACACATGTGTTCCAAATTTCAAGCCTCACCAAAGGAATCACATTTCATTGTAGTTAAAAAGATACTAAAGTATCTAAAGTGAACAATGAACATTGGTCTTTGGTATGACTTTTTTTATCATGACTTTACAGGTTACAAACTAAACAGAAAAAGAAACAATGGAACATGTCATCTCTTAAGGAGTAACTTGATTTTATGGCATAGTAAGAAGCAAACTCGTGTGGCTCTCTATGACAAAAGCAAAATATATAGAAACTAGGAATTGTTATGCTCAATTTTGGTAAGTAGTAGTTACAAGGTTTTGGATTATATCTAACCAAGATACCTTTGGTATGTGATAACACAAGTGTCATTAATCTTATTGAGAATCCAATACAACACTCTAGAAATAAGCATATTGAAATAAGATATAATCTCATAAGAGACCAAGTTTCCAAAGGTGATTGCAAAATAATGTTCATTGAAACTAATAACAACTTGTTGATTTATTCACCAAACCTTTACCTAGGGACAAGTTAAACATATTTAGAACGAAATTAGGAATTCTAGATATGGCTAATGTTGCGTGAAATCACATTACATTAGTGATTATGTCATGTTAAATGATGAAAATATGACTTAATCGATAAAAATACTGAGAGGAAGGAATAAGAATCATGTGATTCTTTGTTAGAATATGAATTTTCTTATGAGTATTCTCTATTTTAATCGATTAATTCATCGAAATAATCTATTAAAACCATTAAATCATTTTTTTAGAACAAAACTCTATAGATTAATCGATTAATTATGATTTGTATCAATTAATTTTACTTGAATTTATTGTGGTACTACATTATTACACAGTTTTTAGTCGATTCAAGACGTCAATTATTTCTGAAATACTTTTTTAAGCATAATTTGATCAATTATCTGGTATAATAATCAATAAAGTTGTACTTGAACCTTTTATATTGCTAATAATCACTTGCAGGAACACTATTAAAGCTTCTCTTTTCATTAAATTTGTTCAAAACTGAGTCAAAGTCTAAGATAAACATCACCCATTATATTACACAAGGGTAAGATGATTTTATTAGCTAAGAGGAAAGGACAAAAGGCTTTTATTAAGCCAAACATAAGTTAAAGAACAATTTACTTATGTAATAAAGCATATTCTCTGTAACCCATTGTCTAAATTATGTTCCAATGTAATTAACCAAGGAGACAAGGCTAATAACTTTCTTAATTTCAGTTTCTGATTCAAATCAAATGTAATAAATGTCAAATTTGACTACTTTTCACTTATTATTATTATATATGATCGACCATCTTCCTCACTAACCATATATGCACCAAGTTTTATTATTCTTTCTACAATTCTTCTTCTCGAAACATTTGTGTTCTCTGATTCAACATGTTTAAGAGGTCCAAATAAGGGATCAAGAAGAGTAGAGGTGAATCCTCTAATCCCCAGCCTGAAGAACCTGATAAATGCCATATAGAAACTTGGTTAAGGGGATAACTTGAGAGGATGAATACCTTCATCCAGGATATGAGCAGGAAGCAGGTTAACATAACAAAAATTCTGAAGTTTTCTTGGCTAGAAGAAGAAAACTTCAAAGGTTTGTGGAAGCTTCTCCAAGATCAAAAGCTAGAACCATTTCTTGAGCTGAATGGTATGGTATTCCATACACTGTCAAACTTTTGTGTACTAACCTCTCATTTGAAGGTTCCACTCTAAGAGCACATGTCAAAGGAATCAACATTGAAGTCACTCTCTCATTATGGAAGCAGGTTATTGGCTTAAAGAATGAAGGGCAGTGGCGGATCTTCTTGGGAGTTGAGGGGGGCCGTGGCCCCCCCAAAGTTTTGTAACTCCCATGTAATTTATGATTTTGGCCCCCCCAAACTTAATGAACATTTAATATATTTACTTGTATATTTACAATTTTATCCTCCCAACCCTCCTCTATTTTGTAATTCTCATATAACTTATGATTTTGTCCCCCTCAAACTTAATGATCATTTAATATATTTAAGTATATATTTATAATTTTATCCTCCCACCCTTTCATCTTCTTACTTCCTTTTATATTTATTTATTATTTATTAATAATATATTATTTGGCCGCTCCAAGATCAATGGTCAAGATCCGCCACTGATGAAGGGGTAAAGGTTACCAAGGGTTACACCTCTAAAATAGAGGATTTCAACAAGATGTAGTACTTCAAATCCTGCATGAAGAACAAAGAAGAATTTATGAGAGTTTTCAATACTAGAAAATTGTGTCTGGAACAAAGACTACTTGCCTTCATTATTACTTGGATTCTCACACCCACGGGGAGCAATCATGCTCTAGTGAATGAAGGA